AATAAATTCTTCTGGGGGGAGGGGCAGGTGTCCACTTAGTAGTTGGGATTGGGGCTGGCCCCATGACTAGAGTTTCTGACCTCGATTGCCAGAGCCTTTTCTTAGGCACTCTGGGTGGGCTTAAGGCTCTAATCTTTCAGTTACCAGGCAGACATGAGAACTGAGGGGCGCTCCACCTGGAGACCCTGGTTGCAACTTGTCTCACTCCTAGAAGCCATCGTTTCCAAAGTTTCTGGATGACCTAATGGGGCTTGTGATGTTTATTTTCAAATGAGTGAGGCCCACCCTTCATTTCCCAGATATCACTACCAATCTCATAGGGTTCAGTCTAAGTTCAGTGGTCCCACGAAGCCCATGGGCCTCACCGGTGGAGGGTGTGGCTTGGGTGACGGTGACTCCAGCAGATGGTGACTGTGTAGGTAACAGCCACACTTGACCCACTTCTGACTCCGGCAACTGTCCTGAAGGAGGCTTGTGTTTGGCGTTTGCAGGTTCCGTGGCCCTTGCTTCATTCAGTTCAGACCTATATTGTGCATGATGTCCAAGTAATCCCAGGGCAGCCCTAAGGAATTATTACCCATTTGCACTTCCACCAAGATTAGTCCAACCTGAGTTTTGACCCGGAGAGGATAGACTGGGCATGGCTCTCTTCGCATGTGCAGTGAGGTGTACTAAGAGGATCCAGTGCCTTTGGATTGGGCTTTTGGAAAATGGCATTTTATGAAGTGTGTCTGTCTCCTTTCTCCATCGCCAGGGCTCTGTTTCAGATCCAACAACTAACACCTTACGAGCCTCGTTATTCTGCAGCCATTGCAAGAGAAATAAAATGCATTCTTTCCCACCACTCCCTCCCCCTCTTCCCTCTCGCGCCCATGCATAGCTGCTCAACAAGGCAACTACAGGAATGCAGTCCAGTGATGATTCTGTGGTTAGCTGAAGAATGTTTTCTCTTGGCCCTCTGTGCCAATGAGAACATTTTCTTAATTTTCGTGAGCTTGAATCGTCACTTATTTTTGTGTGCAGCAGTCCCAGTCGAAGCCAAAAATAAGCACAGCCTTCCGGAACCTTCTTTGCCGAAGCTCTGGAGCTAGAGTGCATATTCAATGAGAAGCCTCCATGTCTTCACCTGATCAGTGTATTCTAGAAAAATACTTTTCTTAATATGTAAACATGAGGGGATGGTTACGTGTGGGGCTGTGATCCCCACAGTCAGGGGTTCGAAACCACCAGCAGCTCCAAGGGAGGAAGACTGGGCTTTCTACTCCCACAAATACTTACAGTCTCGGAAAACCCACAAGCCGTCGCTGTGAGTCAGTATTGGCAGCGAGTTTGGTTTGGCTTGGGTCTTTTCTGAACTGTGCTCAGATGCACACATTATCCATCGCTTTAGAAATACTCATCAGCTTCTTCTATTAAAAAGACCAGAAAATTGAAACCATTGCCATCGAGTCAAGAGCTCAAGAACAGTAGTCAGGAACTCATAGCAACCCTAAATACTGTTTCCAAGGCTGGATAAATCTCTATGGGAACAGCTCATCTTTGTCCTGAGGCGTGGCTGGTCAGTTTGTTATGTGCTGATCTGCTAAGCACAAGGCTCAGCAGTTTGAAACCACCAGCCGCTCTGTGGGGGGAAAAGGAAGCTTTGTTCTCTTGTAAAGACTTACAGCCTTAGAAACCTCAGGGGCATTTCTGCTCTGCCCTGAGGTCATGATGTATCAAAGTGGACTCGTTGGCAGTTGGTAAATCTTGCCATTAGCAGTTGAGTGCTTGCCCAACAGTGCTCATCGCCCATGAAAATCAGACCTCAAAAGACAAAGTTTATTTCTTTGATCTCACAAATCAGCATGTGAGTACCTACAATGATTCTAAGGTGCTCAGCTTATGGTGTGCAGAAAAAAAAATGGTACATGTTTTGAATTAAGCAACAGGCAGAAATGTTGTTGGTTTTTGATTGGCAGCAGTCTGTTATATTAAAATGTAAATAAATACCAAACTCCTAGAGGGGAAGGAGACAGGATTGCCCAGCAGAGTCCTGAGTGCGAATGCTTTTCCAAGCTGTTTGTAAACACAAGCTTTTGGTGTATCTTGGTTTCCCTGCTGCTTAGATGCCCAGCCCACCGAAGGAGAGAGAGAAATATGGAACCAGATCAGCGCCATCCTCCAGGATTCTGAGAGCATCCTCGCAGACCTGCAGGCTTACAAGGGAGCGGGGCCAGAGATCCGAGACGTATGCCAATGATAATACTGAGCTGACAGCACCCCAGGCGGAGAAAGGAAAGCCACACAAGCACACACACACAGCAAGATTAAGTAATAGCCCTAGTATTTCCTAGAGTACTAGGAAGAACAAGGAGGGTAATGTGTCCTTAAAAAAATGTATGAATGGCTCCTTCTATTCTAGTACATTTATCTGCACATGCAGTGTTGTGGACTATGTAACACATTAGCCATCTGCCTCTTCAAATGTAGTTTGCATCCATTCGATACTGCAGAACTCACATTGCAACAATAAATCGTCACCATATTACTTCATTGAAGAAACACCTACATAGAAAGTCTGTGAGCAGCGCTTGAAACATGAGTTGTGAGGTCTGCGTCTACATGTACTTTCCAAGATTTTGTAATACTTTTGGCAGCTTCTACGAGTGTCACCCACAACACCCATACACGACCTCACTTTTAAGGAGCCTACACGGCTGTCATCTTATAATGTCTTATGAGATCAAAATAAATAAGTAAATAAAAAGCAAATCAATAACCGAAAAATATTAATAGTCGTGAAACTGCCCACTGGACTTTTGAAACGTTATTCTGCCATAAAGGCAAGAGATTTCCCACTCCCTTTATTCAAAATACTTCGCTTTTGGAATTATCAACACACAGACGTACATGTGAGCACTTGGGCAAATGCGTCACCCGTCACTGTCGTTCCGCACAGGGTGCCACCCGCACAGGGTGCCACTAACCACAGTAGTCCCCATGCTGATGAATCTCAGACAGAAGAGTATTTCCGATGAAGCAGCAGCCTCCTAAGAGGTAGTTTCTCTAGTTCGAGGTCATCAGCTAATGCAGCTCATTTAGGCAACGTTGTAGACGAGCATATAAAACATACAACAGAGAAACGAAAATCTGTCAAATATATAATTCATGATGAGCACTAGCTTCACTTCAGAAGCTTTCCTCAGTCATGGACGAGGGGTGTGTTGCCTCCAATTTAAACGCTGCCCTTTTTGCATCCAAGAGAACAGAAACATATTCAAGAGGCTGAGAACTAATGTAAAGCCATGTGCACCTATGTCCCATTAAAATCTCCATTGTATATGAGCCCCATGGGGGGTGTGGGCAGTCCCATGAACTTAAGTCGACTTAAGTAGTAAGCATAAACAGACTACAGCAGGGATTGTATTGTTATGATTTTTTTGCTAAAATAATTTCTCAAGTGGAAGGAATTTGATGTGGGAGGTATTGCTTCTTTTAAGCACACAATTCTCTCATATTTTTGTAGGCAATCCAAAACCCCAACGACATCCAACTTCAAGAAAAAGCTTGGAATGCAGTCTGCCCTCTGGTTGTAAGACTAAAGAGATTTTATGAGTTTTCCATAAGACTAGGTGAGTATGTGTTTATGGTGTCCAGGTTCCACGCGTGAACTTTTCTGTTGGCATTTGAGAAGGTAGCAGAAGGATCTCAGAAAATGTCCCACATCCATCAATGGTATGTGATGAGAGGCCATTCATGGTGACAACTCCTGCCATTTTTAGTTCTTTCAATCTACCACAAAGTTCCTGTCCTGATGTTATTGTACCCCTTTGAGTATCTCTACACATTGCTATCCCTTTGACGGTGTTCTCAGCTATTCCCAACTCTGAACACAGTTTTGGCAGACCAGGCAGAGCTCTGCATGACAGAGACGGTGAAGGAGACAGATTACCTGCTACACTTACAAAGAACGTGGATGACTGGAGTCATCTGATGAGTTCAGTGTAGTGAAATACAAGGAAAACAAAGATGAAGCTCTACCATCCAGGTTAAAAAACAAACAATGTACACATACAGCATAGTTTTTCAGAACCAAAAATAAAGCAAACTCTGGTTGATAAGAGGCTCAGTGTGACAAGCAATATGCTGCCACTACTTTCCACAATAATAAAACTCTCTCAGGCTACAATCGGGAATACAGTGTATCCCGACCAAGTAAAAGAAGAATTGGGTTTTATTCCATTTTTGCCATAAAATTAGTTGACATTTTAAGAGAAAAAATAATGGACGACTCGAAATGCTTTGAGGGAATAAGCAGCCTGACATTGAGATGACTCCAAACGAAGTCCGAGGGAAGAATGAACTAGGGCAGCTGACCGAGAGGGCGTCTGGTGGTTCTCAGGTGGAAGCGGGACCGCCTTCTCTAGTTTCCCAAAGTGTAATCTCACCTTGTGCATTGAAAGACTCAGGAATCAAGTGTCAGTTCAACAGAGAGGCAAAGACCCCTCAGAATCAGAGCTTGCTGAGGGAGAACAAGAACAGGTTGCCCTAGACAACAGTGAGCTCCCGAGGCAATGGTAAACCCAGATGACAGCTGTCGCCGATGAAGACCCTGTAGGGGGCATTTAAGGATGACATTGAGCAAAGGTTAGCCACTTTTTCTGAACATTACAAGCTAGTAAACATTTTAGAAGTTGTGAGCCACAGTCTTTGTCACAACTATTACACTCTGTTGTTACAGTTCAAAAGCAGCCATAGGCAATACAGAATTGAATGAGTGTGTATGTATTCTAAAAAGACTTTATTTACGAAAACAAGAAGTGAGCCAGATTTAACTTGTGGGTCAGATTTATTTAACCTTTGATAGAGCGGCTTAGCTACATGACGTGGTGCTATTAGAAACACATTGAAGAAAAACCTGAAGGAAGGCTTAGAAACAAGACAAAGGGAAGTAGAGCGACAAGGACAGTCATGGGGGAAGATGTGGCAATGGGTGTATAGAAAAACAATCGTAGGGTACTCTTTAGTGTAGATGCCGAGAGCCGTTGCTATGGAGTCAAAAGCCTTTCTCGCAAAGCACATCATCCGAGCCATGTGTTTAGGACCGCTGCCTTATCTCATTCTGTGATATGGATGGATAGCTCATGCATATGACCCAAGAACACATATTTGTGGTTTTCTGGGAGTGTTTAGAATTAAGGCTACTAAATGTGCGAGGCTCTTAGAGGGAGATTCAAAGATCTCTGTGACTGTGGGAGGTTTCTACAATGGACGCAGCCTGCTGAGCAGTATGGGACTCCATCCTGATCCATACACAAACTATCTCCCAAAGTGATGAGGCAAGACATGGTGCAGCAAGACCCAAGCAATTTCTCTCATTCAGATTGTCAACTGTGGTTAAGAATTGTGCTGCTTGAATTACCCCTGTGTAACACCTTGCATTTATATTTATCTCTTTGACTTTCAGAAAAAGCTCTTCAGAGTTTATTAGAATCACTGACCTGTCCACCCTATACGCCAACTCAACACTTGGAGCGAGAGCAGGCCCTAGCAAAGGAGTTTGCAGAAATTTTACATTTTACTCTTCGATTCGATGAGCTGAAGGTTAGGCCCAAACTTCCTTGGATATTTAATAGCAAACTTTTATGTGTGTAATACTATGCTCAAGGTTTGAGTTGGGGAGGTACAGAAATACGAGACTCAGCCTCCTGCCCTGAGGGCTCTATAATGGGAAGAAAATTTGCATGCCATGGAGGATAAAAAATTATTTTAAGATATCAGTCTGCAAGTGGAAATTCAAAATCTGCCAAATGCATTACAAGAAAACCAAATATCTGCTGTCCATTGAGAGCAACTATCCTTTTTACCAATGCCTAATCATCTCTAAACACAGAGCACAGACATATTTTAAAACAGTGAAGCTACAAAGCCCGATTTCTTTTTTCAAAAAGAAAACCCCAAGGTTGTTTTGCTTCCTGGTGTCTCGAATCCTGGTATATTGACAAAATCGAATGCCCAGGTTCCCAGGGTCAATTCCTCTCTCTGTCTGACGCCAAGAAGTGACTCCCTTGTCTCTCTTCTGGGTTTCAGATGCGGAACCCCGCCATTCAGAATGACTTCAGCTACTACAGGAGGACAATAAGTCGCAACAGGATCAACAACATGCATGTGAGCCCCAGGCTTCCCAGGCCGTCTCATGCCTCTCGGTGACCATTGGGTCTCTGTCCCCAGAGACGTGCCAGGAAAAAAGATTGCAGGCTTGTCTGGGATCGCATTTTGAGAGGGCATTCTTTGGGGATGGTGTATCTTCTCTTTACAAATTGCATCTTCTCCTCTTCTTCTTCATCAGCTAGACATTGAGAATGAGGTCAATAACGAGATGGCCAACCGAATGTCCCTCTTCTATGCAGAAGCCACGCCGATGCTGAAAACCCTTAGCAATGCCACAATGCATTTTGTCTCAGAAGTGAGTGAGACGGAGCTTCAGGGGGGTTTGCTTTCTTCGTCACTGCACATCACATTCCCAGGCAGTGCTAACCTATGTCTGTCTCTCCCCCGTAGAACAAAACCCTGCCAATCGAGAATACCACAGACTGCCTCAGTACCATGACAAGTGTCTGTAAAGTCATGCTGGAAACGCCGTAAGTTAAACCAAAGGTGACACTCGTTGCCATGAGCCCAGCCTGCTAGGGCCTATTATCTCCTGAGGAACTTCAGTTAATACTGTTGATGATGATGATGATGATGATGATGATGATGATGGAAGTCTGTGAGTTAATAGTGTTGATGATGGTGGTGATGATCATGATAACGGCTGCCATTCAGATGAGCACATCAGCGTTTACACTTACCGTACATATTCGTGTATAAGCCAAATTTTTCAGCACATTAAAAAACATTTTTTATTGGGGACTCGTACAACTCTAATCACAATCCATACATCCATCCATTGTGTCAAGCACATTTGTACATTTGTTGCCATCATCAATCTCAAACTATTCTCTTTCTTGGTATCAGCTCCTCATTTTTTACCCTCCGTTCCCCACCCTCCCGCCCTCATGAGCCTTTGATAATTTATAAATTATTATTTTTTCATGTCTTACACTGTCCAATGTTTTCTGTCACCCACTTTTCTGTTGTCTTCCCCCCAGAGAGGAGGTTATATGAAGATCCTTGTGATCAGTTCACCCTTTCTCCCCAACCTTCCCCTTACCCTCCTGGTATCTGTGCTCCCATTATTGGTCCCGAGGGGTTCATCTGTCCTAGATTCCCTGTGTTTCCAGTTCCTATCAGTACCAATGTACATCCTCTGGTCTAGCTGGATTTGTAAGGTAGAATTGGAATCATGATAGTGGGGGCAGGAAGCATTAAAGAACTACAGGAAAGTTGTATGTTTCATCGTTGCTATACTACACTTTGACTTGCTCAAAGTTGCTATACTACACCCTGACTTGTCTCCGGCCCCTGACCCTTCTCTAAGGGGATGTGCAGTTGCTTACAGATGGGCTTTTGGTCTCTACTCTGCATTCCCCCTCATTCACAATGATATGATTTTTTTGTTCTTTGATGCCTGATACCTGATCCTCTCGACACCTCATGATCACACAGGCTGGTATGCTTCTTCCATGTGGGCTTTGTTGCTTCTGAGCTAGATGGCTGCTTATTTACCTTCAGGTCTTTATGACCCTAGACACTATATATTTTGATAGCCGGGCTCCATCAGCTTTCTTCACCACATTTGCTTATGTACTCGCTTTGTCTTCAGCGATTGTGTCGGGAAGGTGAGCATCATGGCATTCAGCACATTTTTATGCAGTTTTTGTGGTAAAATTAGGTGCCTCAGCTAATATTCAGGTTACCTTGTACGCGAGTATATACGGTATATTATTTAATCTCATAAGAACTCTGATAGGTGTATGTATCCCCACTCTACAGTTAAAGAAACTGGAGCCCAAATTGGGTGATTGACTTCCCAGATGTTGCATAGGTAATTAGCTGTCAGAACCAAGATTCAAATGAAAGATGCTGTTGAGAATATGTAAGGAAAAGTGGAGGGTTGAGTATTATTAGACAACCACCCAAAAGGAGGCTTGGGAGGAGTTTTAGAAGCAAGTATACAAGTGGGAAGTCTGCTTCAAGAATAAAAATGGAAACATCTATTTTGTTCTCTGTTTTCTTAATAGTTTATTTGTACCTAAGAGGAACCCAGGTGGTGCTGTGTTTAAGATAAGAACCAAAGGGTCGGTGGTTTGAACCAATAGCTACATAGGGGGAGAATGATGTGGCAGTCTGCGTCCATAAAGATTGCAGCCTTTGAAACCCTATGGGGCAACTGTATCCTACCTGCAGAATCACTGAGTCAAAATCAACTGGATGGCCATGGATTTATTTGTGTCTAAATCAGCCCTTAGGTTAAAAATAAATAGATGATAGATAGATAGATAGATAGATAGATAGATAGATAGATAGATAGATAGATAAACGTTTGCTATATTGAGGATGGGGCAGCATGGTAAAGAAGTTGGCTGTAGTGGAATGCCTGAGTTCCACCTAGATCAATGGCTCTTCATTTGCCTCTGGACAAGTGGTCTGATCTTGTTGGGCCCAGTTCCTGTTTCAGCAACAAGCCTATAGTACTACCTAGTGTGCCTCCTTTGGGAGGGCCCCAGAAGGCAGCAGTAGATTTATAATAGCTGATGTTCTGTTCAATTGTAAGATGGCATTGATTTGAAGTATTTCACTTATAACCAAGTTAAGATTTATTCTAAGGCGGCAATAGTAATCATCTTCAGTGTAAAGCCAATTCCCAATGAAATACATGCTAAGAAAGCCTTTAGAATTGGCCTGCATTATCTTAATCATCAGCGATCCTGTGGAGGTAAGTGAACACAATTCAAGCTCCACAGATACTCTCAGCTCAGTGAATGGATCTATCCTTTCTTTAGGTAGTGTGGTCACTCCAGAGTCAGCTGCAGTCTGTCTTAAAGGGATTTACATGGCTGCTGACATGATAACTGCTCTGTAAAAATGAGCGTGATTTTTGTCCTCCATAGTAAAGCCATTTTTCTCTATAACCATGGACTGAGGTACCTCTTATAATATATTCTAGATTGATGGGCAAAGGGCTAAGTGGTAGATGATCAGCTGACCTGCTGAAGGGCAGAAGAGAAGAAAATTTACTGCTTTTCAATTTGCCTTCTTTTTGCACCGAATTGCTGGCTGGATCGAGTCACGAGAATGATCATTGTGGGTTTCTGTAAGAGCATATGAACTCCGTTTTTGAAGTGGGTTGCAAGGGATTGTTCTCAAGAGAAGCTTAGAGGAGTCCGAGGTAGCATGTGGGACGCGAAGGCGAGCGTGCTCCACCAAGGAAGTAATGCTGCTGCCGTCTCCTCTCTCTTCCAGGGAATACAGGAGTAGGTTTACAAGTGAGGAAACACTGATGTTCTGCATGAGGGTGATGGTGGGGGTCATCATCCTCTACGACCACGTCCACCCCGTGGGAGCTTTCTGCAAGACATCCAAGATCGATGTAAGAATAGCAATGAAGTGGGCTTTCCAAATAAGAACCGGGAGTGGCGTCACAGACATTGCTCCTCACAGCTCTCTACTCTACCACACACCCTGCCTCCAGTGAGAGGGATCTTTCCAGAATACCCGCCCCCTTCATGCCAGTCCTCTTCATGCCAAGGAAGCCAGGCTTCTCTGTGCTTACCAGTAGAACAGCTCACCCCCCAAGGGGCAGCAGGGGTACCAAGGTGCTGACTCCTGCGCCCTGGAGGAAGCTGAGCGCATGCACAGACACGTTAAGCTACCCCTTTGGGTTGGCCGTGGACCCAGTCTGCTGGCACACGCCCGTAACACCTTCCCTATTGTGAAAAGAGTCGGGATATGTTGTGTTAGACGACTCCTAGGTCAGGTGCCAGGTTCACGGACCACCCCTTCCTACCTTCTGCTCCACCCAGATTTCATGGCTTGTCTTGAGTATGTATTTACTTAGGTTTGGGCCCTTCCCCTTCCCCAGTCTGTCCTTCCTGTTTGCTGAGACGTGATGTTCCGAAGATGCCCCTCAAATGTCACTTTATCTCGGGAGAAATCCTCTGCCCTGCATGGGGCAGACCTTTCTTTCTCTGGCCTCCAAAGCACGTACCAGTTTGTATTCTCTGACTTGCTAACAGACGTTTGGTTCTTTGTATGAGGGCAGAGATCACTATTCATAAACTGAACATTTGCTCTTCTGCCTACCACAGTCTCTGGCACATAGTTCGCAGCACTCAGTAGGTGTTCCGCAGAGATTTTGCTGAGTGAATGAATGACCGAATAGAATCAGAAAATGTGTGACTTTAATGCTTTCTTGTTGATTGTGGGATAAAGCATACATTCCCTTAACCCAGAATTTGCCTACAGCAGTAAATGCCATAGGGTATCCAGTAGATTAATTCAAAACCTTTTAAGTGTTGACTAGACCTTTTTTAAAAAAAACAAACAACCAAAAAACTAATTTATTCTGACATGGTTAGGTTTGGGTGGCACAATCTATTTCATTCACCTGCACAGAATAGCATCTGTGATGTCCTTGTACTGTGCAGCAAGTCTAAATGCCCAGTGTGCCCTGGATTCTAAAGAATGCCAGGGACTGAAGTACCGGGGGAAATGCAGCTTAAGACAATGCACTTGGACTTGTGGGTCCTTAGTATAGCTGGGCATGACTTTTCAGAGAGTCCTTGTGCTTTCTTTTCATTTTGTTGTTTATTTTATTGTATTTTTTAATTGTATTACATATAGTTAGGCAGCAAAACATCAGCTATTTCAATAATCTTTGCATGTGTAGTTCAGTAATATTAAATATTCCCATCATATTGCTCAACAATCACCACTTACAACACATTTAATGTAACTATTTTCTATTTAACAAGAGAATAAGTGGTTGCTACTGAAATTTTGAAAAATATAAAAAACTAAATGTATCTCTCATAACCCCACCACTAAGAGATGGCTACTACTACTAAGCCAACATACATCTCTTCTTCTTGGGTAGGTAGGTATGGCTCTTGATGGTATGTACTTAACAAATTTGGGACATGCCATATATTCCATTTCAAAGTACATTTAATTCAAATTCCAATACAAGGGATGTTCAAAAAATTGGATGATATTTTAATTCTACTTTCCCCAAAACTATTTGAAATCCATTCAGATATCATGGACATTTTTATTAAATGTATTTACCAAATTCTTTGTGAGGTTTTCAATTTTTTTTACGATAAATTGTTTACAGATGATTCTGAGTAACTATAAACATTGCGTTAATTTTAGTAGCACATAACCATCAAACCCACCATCCACTCTGGGTGAAAGATATGGTAGTCTCCCACTTCCTTAAAGATTTCCAACTCTCCAAGGCAGTTCTGCTCTGTCCCAGAGAGCCAGCCACTCTGCCTTGGAATCAGCCTGAGAGCAAAGGGCTTTCTTTGGCCATGGTTTAATCACAGGACATTCTAACTTATCGTAGCTATTTTTAGACACGTGTCACAAAGTTAACCATTAGAAGGGCACTGATACACTTACGTCCTTTGTCCCTTTAAATCTTTAAAACCCTTGGCTTTGCATGTCATTTACCGTTGAGTTCACAATCAATGTACAATGTGAGCTCTAAACAAATAATCTTGATGCAGTCCCCTTGTCCATACAAGTCTCATGAAGAAAAAGTTCGTTCACACCGAAGACTGTGTCTGTCTCTAAGAAAGTTTCTGGTATGAAAAACACAATCCTACTTAAGATGGACCATTTTCCTTAATGAAATAGATGGTCCTCTCCCAGGTTATAGTCTATTTCTAGACCAGAAGCTACAAACACTGGGTTTATCGATCTTTACAGTATCAGCATCAACTGTGAATAAATAGGTATGTCTTTGTCAGATCCTTAAATAAAACTGCACATGCCCTGACAAAAGAAGCCCTGGTAGCACAGTGGGTTATGAGTTGGACTCCTGAGCACGAGATCAGCAGTTCAAATCCACCAGATGCTCTGCCTTGGGAACCCAAAGGGCCATCTACTCTGTCCGGTAGGGTTACTGTGAGTTAGGATAGCCGTCATGGCAGGGCAGTTTGGTTTGGGGTTTATGCTTCAGAGTGTAAAACAAATGCATGCTGAGCTCTTATGACCCAAATGAGGGGGATACCTTTTCTACCTTAGAGACAGAGGTAGGTAGGGACCAGAGGGTCATGTTTGAGGTGATCCTCAAAGAACATGTAGGATTTTCCCAAAGGAGCAGATGAAAGGAAGAATCCCCCAGAGTAAAAGAGTTATGAGGGCACAGTCACTGATGCCCATGGGGCAGGTGCCAATGAGAGAATCGATGGCAATCTGTGTGCCAGGAAAGGCAGGCCGAGGGAAGATGTTTTTAGCTACTTTCCTTAGAGTCTCATGAGATGCACTCATAAGTACTCATTCTTTAATTCGTGCACCTGTTCAGACCCCACCCAAACTCTTGAGCTCACGTGTTCTGAACATCTGCAGCATGGCATGCCTCAAGCCCAAGGCTCACCTGTCCACACAACCCAATCCTGTAGGGTTGCCTGATATGGCACCGTTATCCAACACAGCTCGAAGGCTACCTACCCATCACCCTCCCTCCCTCCCTATCTGTCAATCCCCATCCCCTGCCAGTCATCAGATTCTAGGTCATGCCTCAGATTAATCTGACCATCCCTCTTTCTTTAGGCCCACTGCTTTTTTTATACTTTATACCTTCCTAACTATCCCTGTACCTCTTAGCTGGTCTCCCAATTACTGTCTTGCTTCCTGCTCATCCCTTGCTATGTCCCCATTCCCTATAGGTATAGACTCCAAAGTCCCTAACATGATATCGAACTTGCACTTGATCTGGCCCTGTCTACATCCCTGGTGTTCCCCCGCTGTGTAGCCAGTGCTGCCATCATCCTGATATGGAACCAGAAATGCCCAGAATGGACTCAGTGCCCTCTCCTTCCTCTCCTACATCCCTGCTCCCCTGCTTGTTGCTGTTGTTAAGCACCTTTGGGCTGGTTCCAACTCACAGCAACTCGTCTGTGCAAACAATAGGAGACATCTCACGGTGCTGTGTTCTGCTCAAAGTTGTGGTTCTGTTTGAGCACATTGTGGCACCTGCTGTGTCTGTCTGTCTCTTGGAGAGTATTCCTGGGTTTTCGTTTTTTATTTGTTACTGACCTACTTTATCAAGCATGATGTCCTTTTCCAGGGTTGAATTTTTCCTGATAGCATGTTCATTGGGTTTATTTATATAATGATTCATCACACTCAACTAATGAATTATTTGTCTACTTTCTGTCACTGGACCATGGGCTCATTTGAGAGGAGGACAAAATCTCTTCACCCTGGGCCTTATCCCATCCCTGGAATCAAACGTGTCTGGGGCACTCACACCTGGCCTGCTGCAGCCTTTCTATGCCTGTTCCCAAGGGCCAACATCTGTAACTGACTATACCATTCTTTCATGATAAGCTTCTATGTGCGCCCCAATGGATTCTAACCCCGTGCTCTTGGTTGCTATCAGGATTTATCATCCTTTTAGGAAAACAAAACAAAACAACTTGGATATCCCACAAGTCGACCCCCAGAGACTATTTTTCAGTGTCAGGGTGAAAGATACCCTTAGCATAACCAAATCCAATACAGTATGTGGCCATCTGAGTTTAAAATGAGTGATTCTCAGTTTTGCAGCAAGATTCCTTGCTCTGTCAAAACAATCCATACACAATATGCATACTGCACGTAGAATGCCATCTATATAAATTTAGTTTGTATGCACTTCCTAAATTATAAATGAATGAGATTCCAAAAACACAAAGGTGCTATGTTCTTGAGGATACTAAATCAAAGAGTCTGGGTGAAACCCAGGTCTGGTGCCTCCTTCACCACCTGTCAGAGACGATTAGGACCCAGGCTGTGTACCTCTTGGGGTTGAGAATCTACTGAGGGAGACAGAAGAAATTTGAGCATGAAGATCGTCAAGGAACTGTGATACATGCCAGAATACTGTGGGGAATGCTATTGGCAGATGAACAAAATATAATACTGAATTGCAGCAAATTAGCAGATGCCCTTTGGGTTGGCTGAAAGCTGAGTAGGTTGGCAGACAACATGGGTTTGGGGCAAGTATTTAAGTGGAGAGCACCCAAAGGTGGCAGTTACTACCACCTGGTGAGGGCAGTGAGGACAGGCCTGGTAAAGTCAAGGGACTCTAATTGAGCTCCACAAACACTCTCCAGGAGCTTCCAGTCAAACAGCTGCAGAAGCGCAAGCATTCTGGGGAGAGAGATGCTATGAAGTTTCCAGCTTTTATAGTGAGCACCTACTCCCAGGAGAGTGCTGCTCTTGCTCCCCAAGCACGGAGACAGGAAGTGAGCTCAGACTCTCAGGTCTTTGACCCCTAGTCCCATGCAAAACGAAATATAGTTGCAAGACAGTGTGAAAACGGACAGTTCTGTTGTTCATTTCTGGGTTATAATTTAATGTGACATGATCCTGGATGCTATTATGAAGAGTTATTTTTATGCATGGAATGACCAAGAAACTAACAGAACCATGGGCTTTCTCTTCCTAGATGAAAGGCTGCATAAAGGTTTTGAAGGAACAGGCTCCAGACAGTGTGGAGGGTCTGCTGAACGCCCTCAGGTGAGCCCCAGCCACGTATCATTGGGACAGCCCCCCTGCAGACCCATTGCCAATATAGCAAAGCTGTTTCACAATGTCATGGAGTCAGAATCATTTTGATCAATTCTTTTTAACAAATGAAATAAGAGAGAGAGAGAGCTGTAGAGAAGACGAGTAACTTGCCAAGGGTCAGACAGTAGTGGCAATGATGTCAACCCCAGGTTTTGGATGTAAGTCCTGGACTCAATGATGAGTGGACTCTTTTTCAGTGGTCCCCACCTCTTTTATCACTTTCCCTTTTATCAGTGGTCCCCACCTCTACACATGAGAATTATATGGAAGCTTTGAAAAAACACTGATGGCTAAGGTTCCCACTTCAACCAAATAAATCAGAATCTCTGAGGAGGGAACTCAGGGGCACAGTCAATTTCTCATTCTGTAACTTCCCAGGTGACGCTCACATGCAGCCAGATTTGAGAGCCCTGCTCTACACTGCCCACATACCTGAGCATTGGCTCAGCCATGGCTTGTTACAGATGCTCCCTGCTGAAAACTCTGTGTGTCCCACAGCTGTGTGTGGGTAATTCACTTCAGGGAAGGGATTCTTATTTGGTAGCTATGATACACATTGTTGAATTACTATGACTTTGCAACTCATTCCAATGCCGAATTTCTCTCAGGAAGGTTTGTGGTCCTTATCTTATTCCTGTTGATTTCTAGAGTTCTAACTAATGTTGTGCATGCACTACATATTCAATAAGAATAAGTGGAATGGATGAGTCTCAATATACCTCTACATAGTTGCAGCATTTATGTTTGATATGCCCTTTCCAATCACAATGCCCCATTTGACGACTGCAACTCAGATAGGGAAGACACATCTCTGAACCCCATTCGATAAGTAAACTGACTGAGATGTACATGAAATACATAAACCACCATTGAGAGTGATGCGGTTTTGACGTGTGCTGTGCCATCATCCTTCAGAACACATGTTGCCTGAACACAAGGGCTTTCCAGATTCTGTGGGAAAGCCGAGGCTTTCTCTTTTGCTGTCCATCCACACCAGGCTCACTTTCGATATGCACAAAAAAAAAAAGACTTCAGGTTCTGCAGGTTTGGAATTTTCCAAAGCTTCACTCAGTCAAGCAAGACTTTACTGTAATTCAGGCATCGGGCATGAGTCTGTCTCAGTGGTGGACTTGTGTCTCCAGTATGGACTCAGATGGAATGAAAACAACACAGACTTTCAAGATAGCCAGACTGAGGTTGTTATTGTTGTTGTCAGGTGTCATCCAGTCATTTCCAACTCCTAGGAAGCACTACCCGGTCTGGAACCATCCTCCAAATTGCCCTTTATGTTTGAACTTCAAAATTATGCTGCTAGAAGGGGGGGAAAGGGGAAACCCATGACAATGATTGGCATACACGCCCCCCCCACCTTGCAGGGGCATGAACAGCAGAAATGTAGGTGAAGGGAGACAGTGGACAGTATAAAATATGAAAATAAAAATAATTTATAAATTATCAAGGGTTCATAAGGTGAGAGGCTTGGGGAGGGAGGGATGGGGTGGGGAGAAGAGCTGATACCAAGGACTCAAGTAGAAAGAAAATGTTTCGAAATGATGATGGCAACATATGTACAAATGTGCTTGATACAATGGATATATGGATTGTTATAAGAGCTGTGAGAGCCCCAATAAAATAATTTATTAAAATTGAAAAAATTATGCTGTTCTGTTTGGACATATGCTAGATTCAAAGTGGAAATTGTACACTGTTCCTCAGTCACAAATTGCTAGCTAGCTGAAATGTAACCTTCATGAACTTCTGTTTTCTCATATGTAAAAGGGAAACAATAGCCCCTCCCTCAGATTCATAACTTGTGAAGATTTAAATGAAAACCTAGAGCAAGTCAAGGTTTCATGACTGCTGATTCCTCTTTCTCATCTTTTCATAAGCGGTTTCTAAAGAGGACTGATGTATGGAAGCCTGTAGCACTTGATTTGCTTGCCTCTGTATTTTCCCCCTTGGGGTGACAAGGAGGATAAGAGTTATCACCAAGTAAAAGAAGCTTCAGCTTTCCGCTTCAGAGGGGTTGATTTTCCCAACACAACCCCCTGTTTCCAATTCTGGGACTTTGCAGATGCAGCTTAGATGTTTGATAGTCTATACTCGATCCAGTGAAGGCTTCCTCGCTAGAAAATGAAATTGCTTGCATCTTCTCTGTGCAATTATTTGATTAGGTAAGAGACCTCCTCGTTCAATAACCCTAGTACCAAATCCCTTTGGCAGTAAGAATCAAATATTTACTCTGCCTGAGACTACTCTGAGCACTGAAGTGTGGCTCTTGGTCTAAAGAACCAAGCTGAAGCTGGATTTATAAATATCAATTTTGTTCCCCAAGGTGACAATGGGCTGGCCAGTCATAGTGAGTTGTCCCCAAGCACACTGTGCACACTGACCTCTCTCCCACTCTTTCTGTCCAGGTTCACAACGAAGCACTTGAATGATGAATCAACTTCCAAACAGATTCGTGCCATGCTCCAGTAGAGTGCTGCTCAGAGAAGAGGATCTATGTACTGACCTCAGAAGATGTATATGTTTACATAATTTAATACAGATTGATGTTAATACTTGTGTATTTACATAACCATTTCCTTCTTGACACTGAGATATCTGGACCTTAATTTGTATCCTGACTGACTCAACCCAGCACCGCGTAAATTGACTGGCGAGCCTTACTTCGATGTTTGAAACAAAACTCCCTGCTCCAAAGGCAAATTTTGGAGACTTTGACCTTTGCCTCTGGACTCCTTTAACCACACCTGTAACAATCACACACCCCTCCCAGTCTGTGACAGTGTTTTCCGGCTAGGTGTGTGAGCTCTCTGGTCAACATAGAAACACAAGTATTCGGTTTTCTGTCTTGGCTCAGCTCTGAGAAACATAGCTGGTATTCCGAGAGAGGGCGAGGAATCCAAGAAAAGAAAAATGTGTGTGTGGAGACGCAGACCCACCTGCTTTGAATTCAGCATGCCCCTTTCTCTTGCCTCAGATGGCAAAGCACACGTGCACGTTTTGGGTTGGCATGTGTGGTATTTTATCAGTGTCTTTCTGTCTTGATGTATCCCCTTTTAGCATTGATTTTCATTTTCCAAGAGGACAATGAACCTGTATTTTAATCCGTTTGGGATAAAGAAGTGGAATGAGTAGAGGGGTTAGAGTGTCTGGGGGGTGAAGGTCTTGGAATTGGGTGAGAAGGAAGGACCCCAATTGCAGGCATTGATCTGTCCCTACCCTGCATTTGAGGACAAGGATGGAGAACACTGGCTTTGAAATCAGGAAATGTTTTTCCGACCTTCCAGTTCTCTGCTGAGTCCTGGAAGTACCCCCCCACCCCGCCCCAGCTCACACCCCCACAGACGCAATTGTCCTTGCATTGATTCGTGTGTGTCAGCGTAAACCTGTGTTCCACAGGGCTTTCATGGCTGAGCTTTGGGAAGTAGATTGCCAGGACGGTCTGCAGAGGCACCTCTTGGTGGACGGGAACTTCTAGGCTTTCTGTCAGCAGTCGAGCATCTGAACCATCGAAGGAATCCCACTCTGCTCACTCTAGTTCTGTTCCCTGTGGTCCGCTCATGTAGACATGGAGTGCTGGGGCACTTTATTCACTTAGCAGAAGATGGAGAAGAGGGGGAATTCCAAAATTAGATTGGGGGGATGTCTGGTATTCAAAAGCCAGCTGCTCCCAAACCTCCCCAGCAGCCTGCTGCCATGTGTGAAGCTCCGTCTGCCCTGTATCTGGATCCTAACCCTTGCCCTTCTAATGAGTCACAGTGTGATTTGGGAAATTTGTTCCAGCTCTCTGTGTCTCATCTTCTTCATTAAAAGGGGGGAAATTTGGGGGGGGAATTAAAATACTCTCCAAGAGCCTTTTTAAGGCTAAAAACCAACAAGACAATTGACTCCACCTTCCTTCTTTGGTGATCAGTCTCTAGTAAGCAGTTCTCCACTTTATTGTGATGATTAATAACATTAAAACAACTGAGTCATTATTCTTCTGTAGATCAGAGCAGGCAGGGTGGGGTCCTGGAAAACCTATAGCCTTAGCTCCCATGGAAAAATGAGACACAGAGAATCCAGTCCCACAGGGTCACCTCCTTGTCAGGCTAGAACCCAGCATGCTTCCATCTTGACTCCATGTTCCTTCTTTCCCACCAGGTGATCTGTGAATACATGAGGCAGGACAGGGATGAGCCTTCTTAGATAGTCTTCCTCTAAATTAGTTGTCTGTTTCTCATCAAAGGAAAAATGGCCACTATGCTAAAGATAATCAAGCCAATGAATATCTTTAATAAAGATAAAGGTAATGAAGTGAATCCCAGAAAGGGGTGGGGCGTGTGTCTCCATCCGACAGGGCATCACATCATAGCCATATCCCAAGGAAGGAGTTGTCAGGTCCCTTTGCTTTCCAGACAGTCCCGACAAGCTGCCATTCACTGGAGTCTTCCAAGAAATGGGGAGAGATTGTGGTGTTGCTGACGTGGCCGTGGAGGTTGTTCTTTTGAAAACAAAGAAGCGCAGTCCCGTGGCTGGAGAGCGCTTTGCTACCGAGTCTGTCTTCTACAATGAATCCGTCAAGGGTGTGGGTAGACCCACTTCCGTGGAGTTTGCCAAGCTGACCAATGAGTAGCTGTTTAGGCAGCCCTCTCATCGGACCAGACAGGTATGAGACAGTCTTTGGGATTCTCTCAAGGCAAGGGGTCCGAAGACTCCAAAAAGGGGCAGGGGCCAGATAATGGTGTGAAACCAGGTGAGCAAATTCAGTAACTATGCAGTTGACCGCATGGCCTTCTCTTCAGCAGTGGCAAGTGACGCTTGGATAAAACTCGCTACTACAGTTATGGAGACAGGCAAGGTTTCTAGGTCTCAGGCCCGTTTTCCTCCTCTCTGGATGAGGAGAGGAAGGCTCCGAGGGAGGGAAGGGGTTGCTATTCCTCACAGAGCTTACATGGCACAGGTCTGGCACTCCCAAGTCACGTGACAGCACCACCGCTGCCTCTCAACTTGGTCAAGAAAAGGGGGGGAAAGTTTGGGGTTATCTGTCGGGGTTTTTTAAAAGAAAAAAATATATAGCAGAGTAAATAGTTGAGCACATTTGTAATTTTTCATTAGAATTTCTGTCAAATGGGACCAAACACATGGGTCGCCCAATTTTGCCTGGATACCTCGTCTCTTAGCCAAAAGGCACCAGCATATGGATTCTGAAAAGCCCGCTGCGTGAATCGTTGCCTGATTATGAGAACAGGTTAAGTGAATGTCTGTGATCACTGACAGGTGATGGGCCTTAGGTCCGCACCACAGCTACGGTGGGAGACAAATTCCTTGATCTTACTGTCCCCCAGGCATCAGAAGGCTTGGAACATCACACTTACTTGGGCAGCATGCACATGGGCACAAGACCGGTGTGTGGTTTAGGGGAAAGTGCTAGAGACAGTGTCAATATCAGTGTTAATGTATCTCATATTTGATGTCTCATTGTTTTCGGGTAAACAGTGGTTTTCATGGCTCAGATATTTATTTGGGGGCAAGCAACAAGGTGAAAATGACATTGTTCAGATGCACTGCTACTTTGAACTTAGGACTTCTTCCTCAGTAGGAACGCGAAATAAAAACAATTGAAAATAAATGTTTTTGTTTGAACTGACACATTCTAAACGCACTTCCAGCGAGTCAGTGCCGACTCAGCAAGACGGTAACTGTTTAGGAGAGTCGAAAGCCCTGTTTTTCTCCCAAGGATCGGCTGATGGTTTCAAACTGCAGACCTTGAGGATCATAGCTCAATGAGCAACCACTAGGGCTACAGCATCTATCAATGTGGAGCAAACATTAGGCATTATCTATTAACTACTAGTTAATATCATATTCACCAAACTTTGTTTCCAGTCTTACCATGAAATCAGTTTATTAACAGTAAGTAAGCCGAACACTTGATGTAGCATCATAGTTAAGTAAAAACAATTCCATTTCCCTTCAAAAGAAAACTCAAACATGCCCATTTTGAAACCCCAGTAGTTTGATACATTTCTCTCATTGAATTTTGCATCCTACACAGCAACTATTTCTTAGATGTTAATGATAAACATGGAAAGTTTCCCTGAAGGAGCCCAAAACCTTGGAATCAACTTCCTTGCTGCAACTATAAAAACTGTTGCACACATAACGCTATTTGAAAAGGGTCCTATGCTGTTTGCTGAAGCCATTGTAATTTTTTTTTTGCCTGCTTTGCCTCTTTTTGTACAGAAGTTTTGCGTGTGAAATGAAAATTAAAGTTTGGTACATATATTTAAAATGATACCTCTGTTTCATATGATGTTCAAAGTAGAGTGTGTGGATAAACAAATGATCATTATTCCATATAGATATTTGTTGGGTATCTATCTACTCAGGGGACCAGGAACACACCCCACATCTTTGTCATCTTTCTCAAGCCTCAATTTCTTCAAAAACATGAAGCACCCGATGAGCACCAGCCTTGATATTCATGGAAGCCTAGTCTCTTCATTATGAAAAATCAATGCAGGAAACAAACACATGTGATTGACATTTAGACATAAATGAGAACTTGCCCTGCAATGGTAAGAAACCTTGCCCTTTAATGTTACTTATATATACACACATATACACACACAAAACACATAGGGATTTGGAAAGGGTAAATGTATGACAAATAGCTAGTAGTCATTGTCATATACTCGCTACCATTGGGTCAATACTGACTCGTAGTGACCCTATAGGACCGGGTAGCACTGGCCCTGTGAGTTTCCAAGAGTGTAACTCCTATAGGCATAGAAGCAGAGCGGCTACTGGGTTCAAATTGCTGACTTTGTGGGTTTCAGCCCAACACGTGAACACTCCATCACCTCCACATAAATGTAGTAATAAATTACTCAGCAATAGTTATAGGAATAATTTGTTTAAGAAGCATTTGGATGCACTCATAGGACCAAGCTTTAATGAGTCATCGTTATTTATGAATATATCTGGTTTTATGACCTAAATTTTTGAAAATTATATTTTTTAAAAATCCACTGTTGCCACCACCATAATCCCCTAGGCACACACACAAATTCGTAGATATGGCAGGCATCCTGTTTATTTGGAAAAATTAAAAAATAACCTATTCCACATAGATATAGTTTTCATACAATTTAAGCATTAAAAATTATTTTAACTAACATTGAAACTGTTCTAAACCATTACTTTTCATCTTTGTCGCACTTGTACTGATCTCTAGAGGCCTAACTATGCACACTCTGAATAAGGCCGTCTCTAAGAAAGACCCTCATGTTGCCTATAACAAACAAATAAACAAAAAGGGCACATTAGGTAGGAGTATTGGGGGCTCAAAGGATAGCAGATAGTATTACATAATAATGAGTTGTCCTTAACTTTCCAAATGTACAAATTTTAAATGGACAAAAATTGAAAGGACCCTGAAGAAACGAGGCCTTTAAAATGGCTGTGTGTGTGTGTGTGTGTGTATTTACATGTGTTGAGAGTACAGTACAGGAGTTAGGGGGAAGGGAGCACACATTATTGTCTATAGCAATATAATTTGTGGAGAATTGAGGGATATGTATTCAGAATACCCTTCACACTATCCAGAAAGTTGGTTACATGTCAGGTTTCTCTTAGGATAAGGAAGGAGTTCAGCTAGCTTTATCATGAGACTTGTATATTTGCAATCTAAATTTACAGTTGATTTTTCCCTTTGAGTTATAAACAAATAGAATTTCTAGGAGTTGACATTTTGAAAATTTTGAATTCTATATGGTCATTTTTTACTTTGTCTTTTAGCCTCACTGGGAATCAGAACTGACTCAACAACAATGGGTTTCTTTTTGGAGTTTGATGTGGTCATCAGAGCCCATGTTACTTATTAAAATTTTAAAAATTAAAAAATTCAATTATGACTCCTGGCTACCCGCTAGAGCAGAGTGGAACCAAGGGGTTTCCAAGATGGTACATCTTTATTGGAGCAGAAAGCCTCATCTTTCTCTCATGAAGTGCAGACCCTGCCCTTAGCAGCTGAACGCCAATCAACGATCTGTGAAATCAGGTGTCCTTGTGTGACTTCTTAGAAAATATAAATATTATCTTGATTGATATACTTCAGTTTTCCTCATATTGAATCTCCTTAAATACATTGACCTATTCAGTACTAAGATCATGATCCCCACCAATACAACCCATTTGGACATCACCCACGTGGTACACCTTAGTAAATGAAGGGAGGTCTCACCCACTCTGCATTAGCTCCAAAGTCAAAGTCCAAGGAGCCTTTCCTACTTTGGTTACATATCGTTGCAGGGTCTATATTTAGACCTTTCTAGACTTTCTCCATGCCTAACAGCCTCTGGACATGTGAAAGTGGATACCCAACAAAGTATAATAACAAAACAGAAACAAAATAATTGTCACTGAGTCAATTCCAAATCACAGCTACCAGAAAGGACAATGTAGACGTACTTCATGGGGTTCTCAAGGCTTTTATGATCTTGACAAATGTGTCTTGCCTCACCTTTCCGCTGCAGAATGGCTGTGGGGTAAGAACCGCCAACCTTTTCCCTAGCCGTCAAGTGCTTCTGTCGCTAGGACTCTTCCATTCCACAAACATTTTCTGAAAAGTATCTGCTTCAAAATGCTCTGGTAAGTGATGAATGGTAGAGACATCATGCTGTGTTTGAGGAGTCTTTTAGACTGAAACCCGCTCCCCGCCACTCAGTTGATCCCAGTTTCTAGGAACTCAGCTACTACCCACTGCTCCGAAAGGGGTCACATTAGAAGCTCTTCGATAGAGTGGGAGAAAAATGTGGAACAAAACTTAAACTCCTCAGCAGTCCCTGGTGTACGAATTGGATATCATACTGGTAGGGTTTGCGACTCTGGCCCTCAGTCACCCTTCGGGTCTGGGACTGCACTCACCTCTGTGCCTCAGTTTTCAACCAAATAGCAGGTTTATAAGGGGAGCAATGACATCACTGAAGCACACACATTAGATTAATGAACCATTTGATGGCACGTGGGCAGCATGCAACCAAGGACAATGTTCGGAAGGCTTGGGAAAGAATGAGGACGTGGGAAGCACAGGGAGGAAGTGGAGAGTAGGCGCTGTTACATTGTGGAAATCACAACGATTTAATTTTAAAATGTGTACGAATTGTTGAATGGAAAAACGGATTTGCTGTGAAAGCCTACACCCAATTACAATGAAAGATTTTTAAAAAGATCCACCACCTCCTCCATGAAAAGTTCCCCTAGCTACCGCAGCCCATGCTCATTCCTCTCTCCTCTGAATCCTGAATGCATTGAATTCAATTGGAAACAAGCAGAGGGCCACTCCATGCTACTTTGTGTGCTTGTTTTTTTATACTAGATTTTAAGTATGTGAAGACAGAATTTATCTTTCAGAGGATCAGCACAACATACGCCAATGGCCAATCTATGGAAGACACTCGGTTTCTGAAACCAAAATCGATGAAGCAAAATAGGGAACTTATTTCTAAGACTCATCAACCATCCCCAGTGACAGATATCTGTTCCCTGAGCTGGCTAATTGTATCCTGGAGGACATATTTGCCTATGATTAGGATATCCATATAACCTGTAGACGCAGGGAGTTTGCAACTTGAGACAGCTGTGGCTGTGGTCCAGCTAAGAAATTATGCAGTTGTGTTGATCAAAAGTCAGACTCAACTAGCAACCACAGACAACATGCTAATCTGAGGTCTTACTGGTTCTAAGGAAAGGTTGCTACACTGTCGAGAAGCATAGCTTAAGACAAGCAGACGGGCCACAGAAAAAGTTCAAGATGACTCACTCAAATTCTGCTTTAGAGTCAATGGCGAAACAAATCCGTTCAGTACCCTGGATAGCAACCCGCTAGTGTCATTGGTAGCAAATGAAGCTTTTTAAACCTGAAATATTTAAGATAACCTCCGTTGGCACAACGTTTTAGAATTCCAGTTATCAAAGATAATGTTTTCTTTTCAAAAGGACATTGACTAAGTAGCTGTAGAAGTATTTTTCTTCCTCCTGAGACCTGTGAATGCCACATACAATGGGCAGGGTGTAGTTTTAGAGACATTCAGGAATCGTCTTAATAGCCAGGGGCTATTTAGATCCTAATTGAACTCTTACAAAGAATTTTTCCTTCTTTATTAGCCCCAGCTCACCAGTCAGTCTTTAAGTCCTACGGATATTGTTTCCTAATCCTTGTCAGAACATACGAGACTTTCCACCATCAATTTTGTTTTATTTACTACAAGCTTTATTATTTCATTTCTTCCCTAGAAGTTTCAGCCTACCTTTACCCCTCTGCTCCAGCCCACACACTCTTACAGCCAATAGTCACCTTTCTGAGCGATCCATCTGACCCGGTTAGTGATACATAAGCGCCCTTTACAGTGTGCCCTGCGATATACTTTTAGAGGTGACAATGATGTTCAAACGGGAAAAAATTCCGTTGTCAAGTGTCAAGATGATGAAATTAACAGATTCTTTTATTTTCTTACTACCAGGCTTTTGATTTATTGCATATATTTACAGGA